CCCCGTTAAAAAAAAAAGAAAAAGAAAAAGAAACAATTGAATTTACGATGCCAGTAACATTTTGTTATATTTTTGATATTTCTTCTTTATTATTTTTCTAATGTTAATTTTTGTTTTTTTCTTTTAAATAATTTTTTGTTTAAAAACGAAATATCACAATTTGATCTCTATGAATTAACAAGCATATCGATGGAAAATAAATTAACATTAATATTTTGGTCTTCTTATTAACATTTATTCGATACACTTATATGTACGGAATAATATGATTAAAAAAACAAAACAAAAATAATAGAAAAGAATGTTAACAGATTAATGAAACTACGATCACAGTCCCTGAATAATGCGATCGGGAAAATGGAATGATTAAGGAATACGTTTAATTGTTATTAATTAAAAATACACTCGTCGTTGATACTAATCTTGTATGCTGAGTATACTCCTAACAATAATAATAATAATAATAATAATAATAATAATAATTTTAATTATTATTATTATTATTATTATATATTAGACGTATTAGAAAGCTAACTAAGTCGTAAAATAATAATAATATAATATAATGATGATAATAAATGAAATATTAAAGAAAAAAAAAGTAAAAGGAAGAAAAGAAAAAAGAAAAATGATTATTTAGAAGTGAAATATCAAGATAAGAAAAACGTGATAAGGGGGGTGGAGGGAGGGAAGATATAATCGGAAGAAATAAAAAAATCCTTTTTTTTTTCCGTATACATATTGTCAATTAGATTCAGACTGACCGCAGGGATTGTAAACGCATAAACGATTCAATGTTTTTCGATGTTTTAGCTAAACTATATGAAATGTCGCCGTCGTTGTTAAAAAATAATGTTTAAAAAATGAAAGAAAAAGTGACTGCGTGTTGTAATACGTCATGTGAACACGGTGGCGTAGGACATTGCTAAAAATAATATTAATAATCATATTATTTTTTGTTTTGTTTTTAAAATTTCGCATCAAAATACGAACAAGTGTAATCGAAAATAGCGCGGGGAATAATCCTTGAATTTTTGTCTTTTTATTTTTTTTTCTTATCTCCAAGATTGATATTATTTTGTATAAATAAAGCAAATAAAGACAAACGAAAGCTCATATTCTACGCCACTGGATCGTAATTGAATTTATAATCGTACGATTTAAGTGTGAGAAAGATTTAAAATTTGCGGTAACATTACATTAAACATTTGTCGATATACGCATACTAACATATATGCATATTATGAAGACCAATTTTTTGTTCTGAATATTTAGGCGTACATACACACATACACGCATTAACATATACATATATATACATACATACATACATATGTAAATTTCTATGGCAAAATCATGAAAAAGACATCCATTATTTTGTTCCTAATTTTTAGTACTATCAAAATAATCGTATTTGTTTTATTATCAATGAATTCTTTAACATTTCTATTATTTAAAAATATCTATACAATTTGTTTGTTTGTTCAATAAATTTACATTAAAAAAAAAAATAAACCAAATAAAAACTGTCGCAAATCCTAACGGATGATCGTATGATTTTGCCATTTTTGTTGAGAGTAAAAGTTTTTTTCCGATTAAAATGTAAAATGAATATTTACTCTCGACCCAAGAGCTGACTGTAAAGCGATATTCTAAATAAATAAATACACTTTTTACACGATAATACTTACACATACCCAATTAAAAAAAAAAAGAAAAAAAAAAAGCAGAAAAAGAAAGCGCGATAAAGAACGTTGATAAAAGTATGAGCAATCGTGTGCAAATTACACACAATTTGTTATTTAATATTAATTATTATTATTATTAATATTATTATTATTATTTTGTCAAGAATCGATCGACTTCGTTAAGAAAAAGAAAGAGGGGTAGGAAGGCAAGGAGATTTATTTATTTTGCGAATATTTCAAAGAAGAGGAAGAAGAAAAAGATAAATTTGGCCGTGTCATAATGTTCGATAAAATTTTGGTTATACATCGAACAACCCTAAACGCTTGGAATTGATTTACGCTAGAATAACATATATGTGTACATAAAAATATATATTTACATTCTATTAAAAAATAATTTACCACACGTATATACACAAGTAGCTGCTATTAGCAAACGAAAAGAAAAACTTTATCGAACGACCTAATCTCTTTTAATTGTCTTTCTTACGCTCTGTCTATATTATTTACGAAAAACATTAAAAAAAATTTTAAATAATAATAATAATAGTAATAATAATAATAATAATAATAATAATTTGATTTCTTGAATTCGTTTTGAAAAGAAAATCTTAGAAATAAAAGAAAAAAGAATGAGAAGAAAAAAATTAATACAGAAACGGGAAACGGAAAGAAAGAAAAGAAATGTGAAAACAAAAAAATAATTTAAACAAAAAAAAACCATGATCGATCCTTTTTCAAATACACACAATAATTATCTGGACCAATAAATTTTACACTTCTATTGATACGTAAACTACTCTCATCTTAGAGTAACACTAATTGATAATCTCTCTATAAAATATCAGAAACACACATCTTGAGCGAGAAGGAAGGAGAAGAAGTAAAAAAAAAAAGAAGTTAAAGAATTAAATGAAAAGAAAAAAAAAACAAAAGAATAAACAAAATGAAGAATAACATTCGTTGTACGCCACGAGGGGGGTGGGTTGAAAAGTTTTGAGCCTCGGCAAGAAAACGAACTTTCATTTTATTTGTTTTTTATTTTATTTTGGTTTCAAATGATTATAAAAAAAAAAAAGAAAGAAAAAAAAATATATGGAAATTGTGTTTCCGTGTTAGGCCTCGCAACTTTTCGACCCAACCAACGTATATACTCGCTTAAAATTAAAATAAAATAGGAAAAAAAAACAAGAACACCTAATTACTTATTCACATTCTTAATACTTACAAAAAAAATAATTGCCCCGGATGTTTATCTTCCTTATCACGTGCGTACATACTTTTAATTAATTACATATGTTGTTACCGTTAAAACGTGAAATCCGTCAATTCATTAAATAACTGAAACATTAAACGAATTAATCGGAATATATATAATTTAACGGTAACATATAAATAAATTTTTTCGCAGGAACTACCACCACTACATAATCAATCGATCACTAAAAAAACACTGTGTGTCTATCGTTATCATATATTGTGATTAATCGAATATGTATCGTATGTAGTATGTTACATAGCATATTTTCTGAAAACTGGACGCGCATTATACTCTTTTCAAAATATAACGAATTATAAATTTTATTGTGTGTTTCGAATGAAATATTTTAGGAAATAATAAGAAAAGAATCTTATGTTTCCTAAAAATTTGTTATTATATTTCGAGAGCGTAAAATTAATCCACGCAATTAATTAACACGAATGATACGTGTACGTATATATTCCGAGAAATTTATTTCAACGTGTTTATTTCGTTAAGAATTTCCCAAGAAGAATTTGCGTGAAATTACACACATGCTTTTGTAAGATATTTTAATGGAAAATTTCGATAGTCGGATAAACGAAATTATAAATATGAGAGAAAAAGAGAGTGGGCGCGTCCCGTTCGAGAAGATGTATGTGTGTATGTTCGTGTAATATATAAATAAATAAATAATTAACAGGTGTGAAGATATATATATATATATATATATAAACCGATGGAAAAAAATGTAACCGAAAAAAAGAAAAAAAAAAAAAAATTACCAACGAGGAGAATGTACGTGGATGGGTTGAAAAGTTTTGAGCCTCGACAGGAAAAAGAAAACTCATTTTTCTTTGTTTTTTGTTTTTTTTTTTTTCAAATAAAAGCAAATGTCATCGAAAAGAAAAAATGTTTCCGTGTTTAAACGCGAAACTTTTCAAACCCCTATCCACGTATAATATATATAAACAGATATCACAAAAATTTCTATGTTCGACTATGCAAAATTGCAAGTGAGTGTATGAGTGTGTATATATCGTAAATATAAATAAAAGAAAGAAATAAAAAAACAAATATATATATACATATATATACATATATACTATATAAATATATAATAATTATTATTATATCGCTAACGCGTGTGTATATTGCGTATAAATATTATAAATAAATAAATAAATAAATAAATAATATATATATTGATTGGGGCATGTCTCTCGAGACGTCGTTATTATACACGAGAAGAAAAAATGAGATCTTATAGAGACCAAAGAAGCCAACATACAAGTTGGAAGATCGCAAAAACATTATGCAAAGAGAGTAAAATAAGGATAAGGATAAGGATAAGGATAAGGATAAAAATATAAAAATTAAAAAAATTGCAAAAAAAAACAAAGAAAACAAAAAGAACAAAACGAAGCGATTGGCTTGCTGTGTATCTTCGCAAAAAAAAAAAATAAAAAAATAAAAAAACAGAAAAAGAAAAAGAGAGGGTAAAAAGTAATTCGGTCGGTAACTGAAAATGTTTTTCTTTATGACGCACGGTACCGTATTACATCGAAATTACAGCTTATTATATTTTATGAAAGAATGGAATCAACAACGATAACAAAATATAGGTGACGATTTATTTTTATGGGTTGGAAGATCTAATAAAAAAAAAAAAAAGACGAAGAATGAATTTTTTCAGTAATCGGTATCGTCGTTTTAAATGTCGTTAATAAAACGCAAACGATTATGCACGATGGAAACTATTGAATGAATATTTTCCTTCGGCATACGTACACGTACGCATGTACGTGAAATATGTGTAAATGCGTGGTGGATATAAATACACGAGATGTAAAAGTTGCAGTGCAGGCACACATGTGTATACATATAATATACATATGTGAAAATAAATAAATAAAAATAAAAATAAAATATATATATATATAGATATGTATTTAATAAAATGCCAACCATGCGAGTATCGCGAACTATACTACAATTTTAATAATGTTCGTATTTATTTCTAAAATATTTTTTTTTGTATTTTTTTTTTTTTTTTTTTTTTATTTTTCTTAGATCATCATTTTTATTGTTGCTTTATTATTATCCATTATTATTATAATTGTAATAATTATTATTATTGTATAAATTGTCAAAGCAGATAAACAACGAACGAATGTTTTCGATTATTATCTATGTATAATAAATTGTCGTTAAATAATGATATAGCGTGGAAGGCAAATATCACAAGTGACTGTAATGTGACTCGTGAACGATCATATCTTTGGTAACATCTATTACGGTCGTACAACCTGTAAAAAAAAAGGAGTGACAATATATGATATATTAAAGAATAATTCAACAATTATTAGTAACATTGATTACCTGTCAAAGCGAACGTATGATCGATTTCTGTTCTCATTATCTCAAGAATATTTAATGCACCTTTTTCTCCGGCATACGATAAACCCCATAACAACGGTCTACCCATGAATACCTTTTCATCAACAATTAGATTTATTATTTATTTTTGAAATTAATTATTATTATTATTATTTAAAAGAAAATAATAACAATTTAAAATATAAATATTTAATGTTTAGAAGAGGAGAAGAATATTTTGATCTCTTATCATTTAAAAATATATAATCGTGACATCATTTTATATTATATATATATAATATGTATATAGTTATTTTAATTTACCATTTTTGCGCCTAAAGCAAGAGCTTTAAACACATCGATTCCTTGTATAATTCCTCCGTCCATATAAATTTCTACTTTATCCTTTACTGTATTCACTATCTCAGGTAAGACTTCAATCTAAAAAAAGCAGAAAATGTATGTAAATAACTAAACGTTATTACCAAAATTATTTACGTTTCAAAATTTGAAATCTATCGAGAATTTGTTCAGATTTTGAAATATTTATATATATATATGATATTGGTGTATATTATATACAACATTTTGATGGAATAAATTTCACGTAATACGAACTGTTGCAGGAACGCTATCAATTTGACGTGCACCATGATTAGAAACTATAATAGCAGATACTCCATATTTCACTGCTAAAATCGCATCTTCGGCAGTTAAAATACCCTTTAATACGATCGGCAATTTCGTATTGCTACAAAATCAAATAATATGAATTTTGAAATAAGTTAATTTTAACTACATTTTCATAGAAATAATTTTATGTACGATGGATAATTAAAAATGGTGTTAAATAATTTTAATACCTTTTTAGCCATGTAATATCTTTCCAAGAAAGTGACGGATCGAATAATTCGCTAACATACTCGTTTAAACCAGATCCTGTTTTAGATGTGGTTACTTTGTCTGATAAAGCACCTTCGAAATTAGCTAATCTAAAGAAATAAATTATTTCGAAATTGTATAATCGATCCGAAAAGAAAAGAAACATTTATGAATATATGAACCTCAAATGTTTAGGAAGCGAAAATCTGTTTCTCAAATCGGCACGTCTGTTACCGAAAATTGGCGCATCCACGGTAAGAACGAGAGCTTTAAATCCAGCTTTCTCAGCTCTTTTAACTAAATTCAATGTAATATTTCGATCGGTGTAAACGTAAAGCTGAAACCATTTGATACATTTCGGTGCTGCCTCTGCAACTTCTTCGATACTGCTGGTTGACATAGTTGAGAGTATAAAAATCGTTCCTGCAGCTTCGGCAGCTATAAATAAATAAATAGATATATAATAAAAATCTTCTTTATTGTCGTATTGAAATAATTTATTGAAAAAAACTAAATGATCAATTATATACAGTTTTTTTTCTTTATACAATAAAATATAATAACATACAGTGTGTCTCAACTGAAGAAAGCTATCTAAATATATTTTGTGTTTTTAATGATATGAAAAATGTGTTTATGACATTCTCAATAAGCGTGTATTTTTTTTAAATTGCATCCCTTGTAGCAGGTTAACAAAATGCATTTAAAAATATTTTTATCATGACCTACTATTACTAATAATTATAGAAAAAGGGTCGAATAAATAATCGATTTTCAATTGGGTCGATACTAGAAGTACATTTAAAGTAAGCGCCCCCTAGTGTTACAGCAACAGCACCAATGAGCGACGCAGAAACGCACGCATGCGTAGAATTTTGCGCATAAGTAGAGGCTCGCGCATGCGTAAAGGCACGCATGCGCAGAATAAAATGCACGTACTTATCTTTAACTTAACCCCTTCCTCGATTTTAAAGCAGTGTTGTCAATGTTATTACCGTTGCCGGTACTTCGGCGCGTAACGTTCGGATTATACATTAACGCGCGATGTATCGCGATAAATATATTTTTCATTGTAAAAAGGATAGATGAGTTGTCGTGTTGATAAATAACAATAAATCTTCAACGACGTGCCATCAGTAAAGTAGAAATTATACGATATGAGTGAGGGCTGTTCGAAATGATGAGACGAAATGTTATAAGTCTCCTCAAGTTCTTCACATTGGCGGCATTTACCGTGTTTCTCACTGTTATTATTTTTCGTTATATAAGACGATCGCATAATCGAGAATTAACGACAGAACAACTTCCATCGTTCCTATTGATTGAAAATGGTGGAAAATTTCCGAGAGATTTGGCACGACGTTTTAACGAACAGGTGAGCTTTTCTCTTTTACTCTCTTACTCTCTCTTTCTCTTCTTCTTTTGTCTGTTCACTTCGAAGCCGACTATACCGTGTATGTGTGTGAGAGAGAAAGAGAGAAGGTCAAAGACCCATTCACTCTGCGCGCGACCATTTAAGCAAGTCAAACAGGTTGCGTGACATTCCGCACTAGTCAGACTTTCACGTTTCATGCTAACTCGTATTTTACGATCTTGCGGAGAACGTCACGTGTACTCTTTCAATTTCATCGAAAGTGAATTTAATGCTCTGACCTTTACATTTATATATATCCTCTTGTTTTATATTAACTAATATATTTGTTTATAATTCTATTGATATAATTTAAATATGTAATTTTTATTATTAATTCAATGTATTCGCGTATCTACTATTAATGTGTTTTATTATCGTACAAATTGTATTTAATTATTTTTCCATTTATCATCTTATCAAATTTTTGTATGTAATATTTATCAGATAGATAAAACGAGAAACGTTTTAAACGTGTAGGTTGTGTAACTTATCTATGATATCATAGATATAATGTTTCAGAGAGATATAGTTGCAGAATAGATAAAAATGTATTTAACATTACAATTTATTATTTTATTTCTTTACAGAATGAGGATGAGAAAATCGATTGGCACGATTACAAACAGATAGAAGAAGATGGTAAAAGAAGTGGAACAGGAGAACAGGGAAAACCAGCATTTTTATCTCCTTCTCTCGACAAGCTGAAAGAAAAATTGTATAAAACCAACGGTTTCAATGCAGCTTTGAGCGATGAAATTTCTTTGAATCGTTCAGTTCCTGATATTAGGCATCACGAGTGTAAGAAAAAGAAATATTTGAAGACATTAGATCCAGTCTCTGTCGTAATATCTTTTCATAATGAACACTTTAGTACTTTAATGCGCACATGTTGGAGTGTTATCAATCGTTCTCCACCTTCGCTTCTCAATGAGATTATACTAGTCGACGATGCCAGCACAAAAGTAGAATTAAAAAGCAAGTTGAACGATTATATAAATAAACGTATGCCAAAGGTAAAGATAATAAGATTACCAAAACGATCAGGATTAATAAGAGGCCGGTTGGCTGGTGCTAAAATAGCATTATCCAAAATTCTTGTCTTCCTAGATTCACACAGCGAAACGAATGTTAATTGGCTACCACCGCTTTTAGAACCGATAGTTCAAGATTATAAGACTTGTGTTTGTCCCTTTATCGATGTAATAGCGTATGAGACATTTGAGTATAGAGCTCAAGATGAGGGTGCCAGAGGTGCTTTCGATTGGGAATTGTATTACAAACGTCTACCACTTCTTTCGGAGGATTTAAAACATCCCGCAGAACCATTTAAGAGTCCTGTCATGGCTGGCGGTCTGTTTGCTATAAGTACTAAATTTTTTTGGGAACTAGGCGGTTACGATTCTGGATTAGATATATGGGGAGGAGAACAATACGAATTGTCATTTAAGATATGGCAGTGTGGTGGCCAAATGTATGATGCACCTTGTTCGAGAGTAGGTCATATTTACAGGAAGTTTCCACCATTTCCTAATCCCGGCCGTGGTGACTTTTTAGGAAAAAATTATAAGAGAGTAGCGGAAGTGTGGATGGATGAATATGCAGAATATATTTATCGTAGACGGCCTCATTTACGTTCATTGGATCCAGGCAATTTAACGGAACAAAGAAATCTTCGAAAGAAATTACATTGTAAACCATTCAAGTGGTTTATGGATAAAGTAGCATTCGATCTTGTCGAAGTATATCCACCGATAGAACCAGATGACTTTGCTTCAGGAGAAATTAGAAATATAGGAGCACCAGAGTTATGTCTTGATGCTAAAAAGATGAAGAAAGACGAAGTTATAACAGTAGATATTTGTATAAAAGATAATCCTAAATTATCTGGTGAACAAGAATTTAAATTGACGTGGCATAAAGACATTAGACCAAAAGATCGCACAGATTGTTTAGACGTATCTAGATCGGATATAAAAGCTCCCGTAAGCTTATATCCTTGTCATGGAAAACAGGGTAATCAATTATGGCGATATGATGTAGAAAAACAATGGTTGATGCACGGTTATATACCAAGATGTTTAGACACAGATCCAGGTAGTAAAAAGGTTTACGTAACTGCATGCGATCAGTCATCTCCTACTCAAAAATGGAGAATAGAAAATGTCAATATGAAAGCTATTAATAATTGGGAAAACGTGGGACCAAAGCTCTGATAAATTTTTTCCTTCGTATTGCCATAAAATGCCATTATTTTATATCACATTGAGTTTAACTTTTAAGTGGTGCAATTTTCGATTTAATGTAAATATTGGCAGATACTGCTGTTTCCAACTAGTCATTCTACGTTGAGATTTGATTATCGTTAATACTTTAATCAATTGACACAAATTGTAGATATTAAAAATGAAAATTTGCTTTCGACGTGAAAAATACGATCTTATATGTAATATAATTAAGATAAAAAGAAAACTTCTTTATAGATTTTTTCTTTTTTTCTCGTTCTACGTATACACGTTCAATCAATATTATCAATAGGAACATACTATTTGCCGTGTGCCTTAATTCTAACGGCTGCATTTAATATTAATATGTAATAAAATATTAGAAACGTCATACAGTTAGAATGGATTTTCTATTCGACTGAACAGTATAATGTTAAGTGAGTAGATTGTACAATATGGTTGCCATAGGAAGAGATTTTGCGCTTTCTATAATTGTTAGAAGAAAAGACGAGGTGCTAACAATAATATCATATTCTATATATATTTCTAAGAGGCATTCTACAATATTAGAAATATAGAGGTGCTATAATAAAAAATAACAAATTTCTATCACATTTGTGCCGTAAAAAATGATGTGAACAACTTATTTGTAAAAAAAAAAAGAAAAGAAAATCCACGAAATATTTTAACATATGTAAGATATTAATATCATAGATAAGATTTATTAGAACAGAACAAACTACAGTTTATTTTGCATTGATATTTTCAGCGAGATACTTATCGATAACGTTCAAAATCAATAGATAACGAAATATTGTTTTAAAACACATTTCAAAGATATTTTATAATTAGTAAGAATATAATGATATATATACATATGTATATATATATTTAATAATAATCTAAATACATATATATAGATATTTTTATAAATATAGATATGTATATACATTTAGATTATTATAATGTATACTTAGGATATTCTATAACTGGAGGTATAAACGAACAGGGAATGAATCTACATAAAAAAAACTAAATAAAAAATGTAGAATAAAATTTAGTCATATAAGACTTTGTTCTTGTAAAAAATAAATTTGTAAATTTATTGAATACACGTACTTTTGACTGATTGTAAGCTTGCATCTTTAGAAACTAAAAACCTTGTTCAATAATCATAAGAGTAGAGTAAGAAATATCATCGTATTGACAATGTTGTCCTCTCAAAAATATCTGGGAATAAGATAGTAACATTTGTCGAATGCACGTACACTTAGCGTATTGCTTGTTACAGGACACACTATATATATCTTATTATAAATTGATGCTATTTAAATGAATGGTATAAATAGATTTGAAAGAAAATATATTTCTACCATTTACAAAAAATATGGGATTATGATAATAAACGAATACAAATCTTAGAATAATTAATTAATAAGAATAAAGAATTATTTAGTTTGATCAAACGAGCATAGAAGCAATAATCGTAAGGAAAAAATAAAATCGAACAAAGTTTTTATTCAGTGATCTACATTTTAAACGATTAGAATACATATACATATATATGTATATATATACACATACGTTTGCATTTTAAAAGCGTAATAATTATTAAGTGACTGTGATGATGATGATGATTATGATGACAGTGATGACGACGATGATGATTGTTTGGTATAACATTCGATTATTATTACTATTTTTGTAAAACGTTTATATGGTTTAATAAAACTATAGGAATATTTTAGTTCTTCTCATACAATCGTTAATATTTAATTTGAACTTACCTCTAGCATTAGCGCATTCGCCATCGGGGTGAGCCATTCGTTGCATAGCAGCCGGTGCTACCCCTAACGGCATAGAAATTTTGTCCCCTAATATAGTCGTGCTTAGATCTCTTTTCGAAACGTCTCGAAGACATCTAGGTTTTATTCGATACCTAAACAACATACACACGCATATATATATACGTGAATAATTTATATAATTAATTAATTTGAATTTTATATACGTGTATTAAAAAAATACAAATCTCGTTTAGATTTCGTTCTTTAATTGTTAATTAAATAAATGATATCAATTTCTATCGTACGAACGTTATCGTAATTTGTTTATAATGACTTTTAAACAAGGTCCCGATTGTCTCGATAATTGTCTCGATATAATTATTATTATTTTTATTAGATGAGAATATTATCAAGCGTAAAAATAAGATCTTTGTACCTCTTGAAAGCTTCTCTGTTCCATCGTAAGCTACATTCATCGCCGGCTCCACTTTTATAATAATCTCTTACGAAAGGAGGCAGATTATTATGCCCGTATTTTTCGTAATCTTTCACGCACACGAAGTTCGCCATTTTCCTTAAAAAAAAGAAAAAAAAAACGAAAAAAGAAAAAAGTAATACAAAATAGAAAATTTTGTAAAAATAAATTAGGGTAAATTTATATTCAAATGTGAATATTTTTATAAGAATCAAAATTATCTTGCGATATTTCATAATTTGATTTAAATGAAAATCTAATATTTTTATACTAAATTATATCTCAGGAAATTTTCTACATTATACGTTTTTCGTTATTCTATTATTGAAAGTCGAGCGTTTTAACAATAAAGTATCTCTTATGAAAGTAAATATTAGATTTTTAACGCGCGCGCTATCATTAAATAACACATGTGTAGTAAGTACATATATGTATATATGATAGCAAGAACTGGAATTTGAATTCGTTAGAAAAATTTTGTATTAGTCATTTGTAACAGAAGTCGAAATGGGCCATTTGGTCGATATCATTTTCTGTAGATAATTTTCATATGTATTGCACATTAATTACATTGATATCAATAAACATAAACATATAATAATATGAAATTACAATTTTATATTTTCATTGATTTAAATTTGTAGTTCTATATAAAAACGGAGTGTCCCATTTTTTGTATTAACAATTGCATACAAATTATTTGATTATGTTACACGAAATTGAAGAAAATATTTAAATGGGATTACGCCGTACAAAAAAACATCATTTACTTGTCATTTATTTAACTACTAAGTACATTTACGATTAGTTTCATTACTTTGTAAGATAGTATATCTCAATTTCGTAATGTAAACTTGTAAATTACTTAATTGAAAAGTAAAGTGGTATTTGAATTACTTGCAAGATTCTTTTTTGGAGTTTCGTTAGTTGAAGAAGACAAAGATAAGCGTATTGACATAATTTGCATATTTGATAAAATTTATTAATTATCTAAAGAGTGAAGAATGTGTTGTTACACCGTTGAGTTATTTATCAAAAAAATAAAATAATGCTCTTTTTCGTTTTTTTTGATTTTTTAAATTAGAAATCATGAATTCAAATACTTACTGTGCTAGTAAAATAATTAGAAGTATCCCGAAAAATATAATATAATAATATTATTGTAACGATTTCTCGCTTGTTTTCGTGATTCGTCGAGATGATTTTTCACGATGAATGATAAAACGAATAACGACATACACTTACACACACACACACATACACATATAGATCAAGAAAAAGGAAATCAATGAGGAGAACTATCATCAATCGTCTTGGCCGTCTGCTGTATGACTGATACCAGAAAGAAAATTAGTAACATAATCCATAGTATTCATCGAAATAACCAGACTATATAATATAACTGATAAAGATGTTTATACATACTTGGTAATATTCCGAGTTGAAGATAATTCTCATAACAGAATATATCGGAATTTATTCAGATTTAATATCATTACTATTATTATCGCCAAACATTTTTTTTATTATATATTTCAATTTTATTCATGAAAGCACGCATTATGAATTTTTATCGAATGCAATTTTGATTATATTTAAAACATTATAAATAAAGATTTTTCGCTTGAAGTCAATGTTTTAAAAAAAATTAAACAATTAAAATTCTTTTTACAATTAATACGAGTTGTGTTTTATTACTATATTTATACGTTAATTTATATATCTTTTTAGCTATTAGAAATCAGGATTACATCTTGAATGAATTAAGAAAAAAGGCGAGGGTAAAGTTCAGTTTTGATTATAATACTGTTATACATCATAAATTGTTAATAAATATTTACTTTTATTTGATACAAGTATTCTTTATTATAACATATTTTATTTGTTTAACAAATG